AATAATAATAATAAATAATAATAATAATAATAATAATAATAATAATAATAATAATAATAATAATAATAATAATAATAATAATAATAATAATAATAATAATAATAATAATAATAATAATAATAATAATAATAATAATAATAATAATAATAATAATAATAATAATAATAATAATAATAATAATAATAATAACAGTGATAATAATAATAATAATAATAATAAAATAATAAATAAATAATAGTGACTATTAGACTGTCACTATTAGACTATTAACAGTAATAATAAATGATGGTTTCGGCAATATAATATATATATATATATATATATATATAATATCTCATTGAGAATTAGACGAAATTAATTTACTTAAAAATAAAAACTTCACACATATAAATAGTTCCATATTTATATTTCCTGTTTTTTAATCGAAGAATTTTGAGAGAATTGTTTATAATATATATCATACCATATCATATTATTTCATATGGCATGAAGAAAATTAGCATTTATTTTTTTATTATTTTTCTAAATAAGCATTTTGATCTGATTTATTCTTTAAAATTTGAGTAAATTACTCAAATTACTGCCATCACTATTATCAAATTTGCAATGAACTTCTTGCTTGGAACATTTACCTCTCCTCACCGTCCCCAAAAAAAAAAGAAAAGGAATAATTCGTTTACTTTAATTTTAGCAACTATGATTACGGACGACTGTTTTTATTTCCTGATGGTAAACAAAATGATAAAGTTCTTGAATTACCGTATGATCAGTATCGTAACAAACAGTTAACGGAATTTTGCAATTCCGGAACTGGTTGTACATTACTACTTGATCTAACAGATATATTTTTGAAGCAAGCAGCATAGAGATTTCCAAATATTATCAAATTCATGGGATTGGAAATGGTGAGTAATTAGAAATCGGTACAAAGTCAAACCAAAATTAAATTCAATTTTTTTCCCAGTTTAAGGAAAAAGATAGAATTTACTTAAAGAAGGATAAAACTTAAATTTTACACTTCAATTTAGAACCAAAGGGTTCAAAATCTAATCGGACTTATATATTTTGAATACTTGCGCGTGTAACCTTTTATAGAAATATTTATAGAAATATATAAAAAACCAAAAAAAAAAAAAAAGAAACGACAATTACCACACAGGTATTTCACCTTTCAAGAAATATTACCCATGTCAATTCATTCTCTTTCATGAGAAATTGAAAAAAAAAAACTCAAATTCCAAAATTAAACCAGAGGATTTGAAAGTTTTTGAAATCAATCCTTTCAGTTACTGCAGAATAACAAACATTTCACCTGGTAATTGTAAAAAATTTTCATTTTTATTATTATGAATCATTAATTTTTGTAGTAAATTGATTTCTACACGCAATAAATCAATTATTTTCCATTTCAATTTCCAAACAGATTTCCATTCTTTTCCTTATTAATTGTCACATACATTTTGACACAACAATTATGCATTTGTGAAAATATCGAAAAATTTTTCGTAATTAAAATTTACATTTGTACCCAGCTAATTGTGAAATCATTTTTTTTAAAAATTAACATCCAATTTTGACAGGAATTATTAAAACCGATTGGTTTTAATAATTTTGCAAAAATAATAAATGCATTTGTCTGATTAAATTTAAGGCCAAAAAAAGACTAAATATTATAAAATTAAGCATGCAAGAGATTTTATTAATTAACAAATGCTTTCGTTATAAAGGAAATCTGAGCAAAAAAAAAAAAAAAACTCGATTCAATTTACAATTTAGGACTAAAAACAAAGAACAAAAAGAAAAAGAAAAAAACTATATGTATACACTAGTAACAAGTAGACAATGATAATTAATAGTATGAAATCGTTGATTATCAATAAATAATCACTCTGCTGCCACATATAGTTCGTCATGTCATCATTTTATATCATATCACAATGATTTAATGTTGTTACCATTGCTGAAAAATTCTCAAAATTTAATAATTATTGGATTATTTAGAAAGTCAGTGAAATGGTGGTGCAAGTGATTTGAAATATGCTAATATTTTACATACACACATTACACATATATGTAAATCACTATTGAGTGTTTTTTTTTTCCGCATTTTATGTTAATTTTAATTTTCAATTTTAATTTTCATGCTCTTCACTTTTATACCATTCAGTCCTTTTTTTTAAAGAAAAATAAAAGAATACATATGTATATATACATAAAAAATCAAACAATGTTCTCAAATCTTTTTTACCCATTTTTTTCAAAAAAAAAGGAATTTGAAAAGAAAATTGAAGCATAATAGAAGTTTTACATACCATAAAATAAATTTGTTAAAGGGAAAAAAGGAAAAGCGAAAAGAAGATAAAGGAAAACAATTAAAAGAACAATAATATAAAAACTGAAACGAATAAACAATATCAAACAAATTTTGCAAAAAAAGAAAAGAAAAAGAACAAAAAACAGAACAAAGTTTGGGAAAGAGAAAAAACTTTTTTCGACAATCGGACAAACAAGCATAGGCAGACGAAGACACATGCGATACACCAAGACTACATAAAATATAGCAATTAAAACTTTTAAAAACGAAAGATGATAAAAGTAAATTCGGTGAAGAGAAAAAATAAATATAACAACGGCTTGACAAGCATTAATAGACTTAGAAGGTTACCTTTTACAAATCACTTTTGACATTTGAACTTATGTAAAAATCTGCTTTTCGAATTTCAGTTTATAAAAAATACAAAATTAATTACACAAAATTTTCCTACAATTTTCGCATATATATATATATATATATATATATATATATATATATATATATATATATATAGTAGTA